GAAACTGAGTTCCTTGAGGGAAGGAATATCTAGTTCCAAGTTGATGGGATTTGGGTCTCAGCACTCTCAGGACTGGACAAGCAGCAGAACTTGAGGCTCAGCAGTGTAGTTAAGCGCATGGAAACTTTGGGCACTTCCATCTAGGGGAGAGTTTGATTACAGCTTTGGATTTTATTCCTGTGTTGTGTGTTCTTGTCTCTTGTACATCACTCAGACCTGTTTTCATCTCTGGGATTCAAGATACTTGGTAGCCTCCATCAACAGTGCTTTTGCTAGTCATTTAATAATATGTACAACAGTGAGAGTAAATATGGCAAATAGTGGGAGTAATGGGTATGTAGCATTTGGGATCAAGTCCAAGAATATTGAAAGGGAACTGATTAATTTGTTGCCTCAATATATGCTGCATGAAATCCTTAAAGGGACATTCCCCCAACATCCTTTTAGCAAACAACACTAAATGTTGTTGTTCATTATATAGCTTAAGTGCTACAGTTTATGCTAATTGAACTTGCATGTAGGCCTTGTCTGTTTTTCCAGGTTCTTTGCACTGTGTAAACTTGAGTCATAATTACTGCTGTTGTCAGGAGGTGTCAGTTCATTTGTTCTGATGACACATTGGCATAGGAGAACCTGGTCAATTGTAGATACTTACTTGGTTTTGTTCCCTCTGATTTCTTGTGTGTCAGCTGGCTCCCCCAAACTACAAGATGAGATCTTCACTTTCAAATTGGGTTCATGTAGTTATATCTTTCATTTGCATCTTGGTTTAAAGTAGTAGTGCTCATTCCGTTTGTGTGTCATGTAGTAGTGAAAACTTCTGTACTTTGGAGTCATAGGTTGCAGTCTTTTAAGTCACCTAAAAATGATTAAACGATGAAGCTTTTAAACTCTCTACGCTTGTCAAGTGATTTTATTTTGTTAAAAACTCCTAATATCATTTAGCAGTTAAGTCACTTTGATTTCTTTTGTTCAGTCTCTCTGATCACCTTGTCTGTCATTTACTAGGGCTTTTTTGAAGGCATACAGTTGCTCACAGTAAAAGCTGGAAAAATAAGTTGTTGTACCCGCAAGACCTTCATCATGCACATCATGGTGGGATTCCTTTCAAATGTTTCCTAAGAGCTACTTTCTAATATTATTTTCAAAATAAAAATTACTGTGTCATAACTGAAGATGATGACTTATTTCCCACTCTGTGTGTGTGACTTGTTGAATACACCTCTTGGTTGGCTTTTTGAAGTTCTTCATTAAGTGACAAGCTGGATGTTATATGGACATGGGTATTCCTGTCTTTTGCAGTCTGTAGGCCAAGTTTATTTCTTGTATATGTAAATAAGGGATAAAACTGGGACTAAGGCATCTGAAGAGGACTCAGGAAAAAAGTTGACAAATTAATGGAATCTTCTTATAGAGATGCAAAATCTGTAATTTAAATTTCAGAAATTTGGTAACAAAGTTGTATTTCTGTTTCTGGGGGTACCAAGAAATTAATCTGACTAGTACATACAGATGCTTTCACTAAAGTTGGTCCTTTTTTATCTCAATTGCTTCAAAAAGTAGTTGGATATTGAAATGTTTTTTAGGAATAAGATGGGGAAACACTTCCTGGGAGCAGGTGGGTTTCTGATAAGTACTTTGTAATCTTGAAATTTTACGGGTCTGAAAACTGAGACACAATGAAGCAACATATGTATAACAGGTGGTCTAATCCATGTAGATGCTGTGCATAAATTAGTGGTTTAAAACTGAGCTTGTACTGATTAATAAGGAATCTTCTTGTTAGTGCTGTCTTCTGAAATCAGCCTTGTAGTACCATAGCTTAAAAGTTAGTACTATGGAGAGGGGTGTGAAGACTATAAACTAATTTCTAGTGGAAAGGCTGGTGTTATACAGGCTTCTTTTTCTTGAAACTGGTGACACTTTCTTTCCTCCTAGCTGACCCAGTTACTTGGAATAATTTTCACTTTGCAATACTCTTGATCAAGTAAATGAAAAAAAAACCACACCTTGGTGATGATAAAATCATTCTAGTATACTAAACTATCTCCACAATTTTTTCTGTGTTCCATGAAGACTTTTCATCATAACAATTTAAGTGACTGTCAAATAGTTGTCTTAATTTGTAGATGTTTAATACTGGTGTAATACTTACATAAAAGATACTTTCTGTTGTGAAGTAGAAGTGGCCTCCGGGACTGGGGAGAATCTTTGTGTGGTGCTTGTCTACGTGAAGGTGTGATATGTGAAGTACTGGTAAGAAGTTTGGTAAAGCTTAATTTTCAGGGGCAGAAAATAGACTGTTATGGTACAGGGCTTTATTCTTTCTACTATTAGTTTTTAGCTATTATGTGTATCTATAAAGAGATAGTTTAAAAATAAGACTTTGGACCATAGAAAATAAACCTATGAAGGAATATAATATTTTTCTGCAGATAACTGTTTTCTGTTTTGCATTGTTTCTTGTACTGGGATTCAGCTTCAGTATCACTGAATCTTCAGGATAGATTGGATTTTAACTTGTAACGAGAATGGGTACAGATAAACACTCTTGTACTGTTTTGTTGTAACTAGAGCTTGATTATCTGGGATTTTGTAAATTTAATGCCCGAAATGGCTTTTTAATGTCATTGGCATAAGTGATTAGGCAACATATGTTCTAGAAGAAACTACAACTCAAAGTTTACAAAGTCAGTTTGGTTGGCTCACTGAACCATACGATATTTCACCAAAAGGCAAAATTATGGGAGTGGATTATAAACCAAGGCTTAGATTATGAAGGGACGACCTTAGTTCAAATAAAGCAATCTTTGTGTCTCATGTGCTTTGAGCTCTAAATCTGTCTTTATGCAGCTTCATTTCAGTAGAAACCAGCTAAAGAACAAAAAGGTTGAGTTTTATGTTTCTCTATCTGTGTGGTACAAGCTGTCAAACAGCAATTGGGAATGAAGAGAATCTCCATTTTGAGGCCATCTGTGTAGGTTCTTTTGTCTGAACCTGACAAGAGGTCATGGCAGATGGTGGGGTCACAAAGTCTGGCTTCTTGAGCTTGACAAAATGTGTTCATAAAGCTGGAAGAATACCAACTGTTCGTACTGGCTGAAGAGCATTGTGGCAAAGGACTGTAATAGTTTATGGACAATACCTTCTGGATCACTAAGCCTGACAGCAAATAACTTGTCAAAGATGAAACTAGTTTGCTTCTCTGTAAACAGGTTAAAACTGCTTAGCAAATGTGTTCTTCACAATGTTTTATTTGAGTAAATTACTTGTAAAGCCTCTTAAAGCAAGAGAGGGAGGTCAGGCTGCATCACGAGTTTTGGCCAGAGCTCCATATGATGTATTTGGAGAGTTTGTGTGGAAGGAGGAGGAAGGTGGAAAAAGAAAAGGCACATAAATCATAATTTTCAGATGCAATGCAAGGATTCAGTATTTGCTCTTTGCCATGACCACTGTAGCTTTATGGCTTTTCTGCGGCTCTTCTTCAGGTTTTAGGATTGCTACACAGATCCAGTAGCCCCTTTCTCCAGGGTGTGAATAGGTATCTCTCTGTAGTGTCCTCTCTGAAGGCAGACAAAAATGGTTCTTATTTTCTTGGATGTTTTGTTGTGAAACTAAAACTTAGAAGTTTTCATGGGAGAATGTCTTAGTAGCAGAATTGTGTGGTGTTCACATGCTGGAGTAACTGCTTAATTATGGCTGCAATAAATTGAGGCACTAAGGAAGATAAATATAACTCATTCAACAGGAAATGGAGAACACCTCTAAGTTGAATAAAATGTTTTTCCACTATCTCTAATAACAGTTTAATTGATATGATGTCTGAATAAACCAAGAAATCTATAGAAAGATCCTAGAATTTAAAATTCTTCTGGATTGTTCAAAACCACTAATGTAGTGATGGTAGAGTTCCACCATTAGCTGTGCACACTACTGCAACAATTTTTGGCACTTTTCTAAAAGGGAGGTGAAGACGCTGGCCGTTCTCAAACTTTGTGTAGGTTAAAATACAGAGGAAATAGCATGAGTTGCAATCTGCTTTTGTAGCTGGTGAGTTCTGCTGTAAATGGTCACGACTCATATTTGGTAACTAGTTCAGGCATCTTCCAAAAGATTTTGCTGGATTGATTCCACCCTTGAAAGTGTGAACAGTTCTCCCTCTCTTATACATCCAAGTGCAATTCAGATGTCTTCAGTAGTCCATTTTTTAACAGCAAGTAGTACTTACAAGTACTTTTGAAGTTCTTAAATGCTTTGTCAGGTTAATTCTATCTTTAAAATGATTTGTGCTGCCAGTGTTGATTTGTAACTTGTTTTCTTCTGTTTTCTGTAAGACTTCTGGAAGCTTTGATTTTAAAAAGTCACTTTAAGTATTTTTCAGTATACTAAAACGTTTGGCTTTTCCTGGAATTCTAATATTATAATTCTAAATACATAGGGTTAATAAAAAAGCCTGAAAATATTTAAAAGATGAGTTTGAACTGAAATGCTTTTTCTTGGATGTTTCCTAAAAATACTTAATGTTTGCTGTGTATGTACATTTCATAGTATTTCCCACTTTTTATCAAGGTCTTTGGATGTCTGCAGCGAGGGAATTAGAAGCTTTCTGTGTTGTTGGAGGCTAAAGACACAATGGAGAGAATTAATTCACTTCCAGTTTTTAGAGTCAATCTGCATTAGATGCAAATGATTGCATGGTTTTAATTACAATACTTTAGTAATGGTATGACATGCATTGCTAGCACATTAATATACTTAGGTCTCTATATAAGTTGGGCCTTATATATAAGATTACATCTCTGTCTGTTCCAAGCAACGTACATTTCTAGTATCTGTGCAGAACCTGACTATTGTGGTGATTGATTTTTATCAAAAAGTAAAAAAAAAAATAATCTATCCTTTGGAGATGCAGGGTTTCAGCTAGAAAGGTAACTGAAAATATATTTTACTAAGATATTTTATTAACTTTCTTACAGGATGTTCATTTTAAAGATTCTGTGAAGATGAAGAGGGGTATCTGATGGTTTTACGGAATATAAAGCAATATTGTCTGACATGACGGCAAAAAATGTAAGTATAATTCTATGAAATGTATTACTTTTTATTTTGGCATGCTGCCAGTCACTTCTGGCCTTCAGAATTTGAAGGTCTTTGTGTTTGATTTCTTGTATTTGTCCATACAAGAAGTCAAACACGAAGACCTTCAAATTCAAAAATCTTGTCCTATTTTTATATACCACAAATGTGTACCCCATCATCTTCTGCAGTATTTTGATAAATTTAAACTGGTTAGATGCTCTTTTAAGGATGTGGAGTTTACTCAGTTATAGGTCAGGTTGATAACTGGGGCAATGCTTCATGCTGTTTGATATTGATCCTTACAGATCCCTTCCAACTTGAGATATTCTATGATTCCTCTAACATTGCTCCAAACTTACCAGAGAGCTTCTCATTTTGTTGAAGCATCTCACCTTTACACCAGAGTAAAATCCTTTTACTGAGTCCGAATCTCAAAACTCAAGAAAGAACAGAAAGCATATTTCTTTACTAATGTCAATACACTCTTGGTTTCTAGAAGACTGAGGGCCTTCCTGTTTCTTCATCTGCCGCATCAACAAGCCTGTAGTGTCGTGTCTAGAGGCTCTATATTTGACTCCCTTATCTTGAGTTCTGAGGAAGCTTATGAAATGTCTAACATCCTGACCTTAATTTTCTGCCTAATTAGCTGTGCTTGCTGAGGTACACAATTTGTATAGAGAACAGTTCTGATTAAGCTTGGTGGTCAGCGAGTTGAGTATGACTTTGGGCCCTGGGCAGTTTACCTGTTGACTGCCTTTGATAGGACATCCTGCAATCTAATTAAATCTGAACAGGTTTAGGAACCAACATGGCTAAAGAAATACCCTACAATAAAAGTGCAGGTAACCCTAGGATGGCTCTCTGTTCAGTAACTGCAAAAGCTTTCATGCATATTTGGTTAGATTGATGCCAAGGGCATAATTTGGTTAAATTAATTCTCAAGTCTCAGAAATGTCTTTTCTGTTGGCTTTATTAATAGTTTCATTTGGTGTGTAGTTCCAGGTAAGGCTTTCAGATGTCTTAAGTCTGACTGTTTGATTCAAGCTGACCAAGCCAGAAAATAAATGGATGTGTATATGCAAAGCCCTTTGACTTACTTATTTCATAGGCCATATTCAACTGTAGTATAAATAGGTAATTCTACTGATCTATGTGGAACAGCTGCACAAATCCAAATCATTTGTGGTTTTGACCTTTTATTCAATGCAGTCAAAGGATAAATACCAATGCCAATAAAATCCATGGAGTGTTGTGTGATCGAGTCATAGAGTGACATAGGTTGGAAGGGATCTCAGGAGGCCATCTACTCTGGTACTTTGTGTAAAGCTCTGACACTTGAATTCAGAATGCAGTTGCTTGGTGCTTTGTTCAGGGCCGCTCAGGGCTTTGGGTTTTGAATACCTCTGAGGACAGACATATGACATTCAGTCTGGGCAACTTACTCTTGTGCTGAATATAGAAATATGTTTTTGTTGTTGTTTAACGCAAGGCTATAGTTACTTTATAGAATAAATATTGTATTGGTATGTATGCTTTGAAATTTTGCATATTAAACTATGCAAACCTAGTTATTTAGCTAATGTTTATGGATTTATTTAAAAAAAATCAGCTACTGTGGTGCAGATGAAAGTAGAACTCAGTTCTCATGTTTGTTAAGTATACCCCTTCAAAGGATTTGCAAAATAAGTAACAGTGTAAAAACAAGGGTGGTCATATTCTTTCTGTCCTTATTTGTAGCACTTCTTCAGGATTTCCCAACCTTAGCTACTCAGAACTGCACACTCAGGCCAATACTGTCAGCGCTAGGGTTTTCTATTGCTGTTAGAAGCATTCTTGGGCCTTCTGAATTTGCAGAGTTCCAAGGTTTACCATATATCTATGGGTTTCTGCAGCCTGAAACCCGTTTCAAATGTAAGGTTAGTGTTTGTCTGTTATACTCTCTGAAATATTTTAACGCTCTGCAGAGCGAGTTGAGGGAGAGAGCTTCTCTGCAGAAGGTTTGGGGTTTTTTTTCTTTCTGTTGAAGTATCAAGGAAAGGGAACTTTGAAGTACTGGAATTTGGACATCTTCTGGGAAAGTCTTAAAGGGCCCATATCTTTCATCAAACATGTACACATCAGGAAGCTGTCCCCTCTGTGTTCTGAAATCACTACCCCTCAACTGGGACACAGCAGTCTAGGGATGTTTGTGCTCCTAATGCATCGCAAGAACAAAGTGCAGTGAACTTAGGCTAAAATGTATTTGCATCTCACGTGCATAAGCTCTGTTGAGCAACCTTGTCTGCAAGGAAGCTTGCGCTTCAAGCGCATGGCAAAATGTTACCATACATTGAATGTGTATGTAAGATGAATAATGTTCCCCATCACTGTTTTTCCATGCTAACTTTTTGAGTATGTGATGGGAGAATTACCAAGACTGGGCTGAGTGCTCACTTTCTTTAAATGCAGGACACTTTCTAGTATCTGCTTGTGGAACATTGCTTATGGGTGATTTGACCTTCCTTACAAAACAAATCCAACCAAAACAGCTATGAATAATAAGATGTTGAATAAAAGTTACAGATTCTCTTGGAGATGAGATGTTTACATGCTTACCATACACATTGTACCCAGATGTAATTTAAATCGCTCTGTCATAATGGGTTATTTCATTCTTTGCTTATATCATAAAATGCATTTTTCTTGCCTGTTTTGTACTTCCATTCGCATCTGTCCTTCAGGTAGGAAGACACCAAAACAGTATTGAGAAATGGGGGAAAAAAAGAGCAAATACTCATGGTAAACTTGTATTATCTATTTTGTCCTAAAAATGACTCAAGCAGATTATTTGAATAAGACTGTTAGTTTTGATCGTCTGATCTGAATTTATATACATGTGCTTGTGAAGTTGTTTGTCACTGCTTCTCAGGGGGTGGTTGTCTTGTCATAGATGAGATCAGTTAAATGGCTATAATAGTTCTTCTTTCACATGTCAATATGGAAGAAAAGGAGTTAGTTTAACTGTTGAAGTTGGTCAAGAGGGCCTTAAACAAGCCTTAACACCTGTCTTAAACAGGAAACTCTTCAAAAACAATGTAAAGGACATTAGCTGTTCTGCACTGATTGTCCATGCAGGTTTCTTTTAGTTTATGATGACAGCACCCTTTTTAGGTGCTGAGTTGTTTCTGTAAGCGGTAATACTACAGTATGTCTAGAAATGAGTCTGTTAGGGCTTACAGGTATAAGAAAACAGCCAGTTAGTGGATTCCCTACCCATTTACAACTTCTACATGCTATAATCTGGATTAATTCTAGGGCAGAGAGCACAAAAACTTTTCAGGTTGCTGGGAAAGTTGGTTTCTGTAAGGAAAGGGAAGGATTGCAGGTGGAGACTTGCTACCTGAATAGTATGTCAAGCAGTGGAGAAGGCTGATAAGGTGCAAGAGCAGCTCATGACAGTTTGCCCCATCCAAGACTCTCGTTACGATTCTTTTTTTCTTTCCCCTCGCCCCATTTGGAAACTTCTTAGTCACCTACTAGGAAAGGGGAAAAAAACTTGATGAAAATATTTAATAGGATGCAAAGGCCTGCCAAGTTCTTGCTTCATCTTACTTCATGACTGGATTCATCTTGCTGCAGATGGATAGAAGCAGGAGTCCAGCTCTTGCCATACCGAGTAATCCAGACACTCTGGGGCAGTGTTATAAAACAGAAATATCAGGCAAACCATACAAAAAGGAATAAGTAATACCTATGTAAGCGTTGGGTTGTTTGCTGGTTTCAGCTTAGGAGTAGTTAAATGACAAGATTATTCCTAAAAGGAGTGGGTGGTACAGTCTCTAGATAACAACATGGCCTGGTACCTCTCAGACATAGCAATGGAATACTATAAAGTTCTCATTCTGCTGCAGTATTGTACTATTGCATCACACTTGGCTTCTGAGGGCTTAGTTATGATAATTCTTCTGCAGGAGAAACAAATTTCTTTAGATCTGCCACACTTCTTATTTAAGCTCTCATGAAATTAAAGTTTGTTTTCAAGCTCTTCTAAACTTAGATACAAAGATTATAAAATTGAGAGGAGTGCTCCTGCTCATTGGATGCTCTTTATAAACGTGTTACTAGGACCATCATCGTGAAAATACATATACCTATGCAAACTAAAATTCTGCTGTAATTTGGTATCACTTGGATCACTGAAGTACAAGATACACACACAAAAAAAAAAGAACTTAAGTACTTTGTTGCATTTCCTTACATATTGAATCAGTTAAATAATCTAAATCTTTCAGAGAATTAAATGTAAATGTTTGAATTGTCATAATGGCTGGAGAGTCATCTTGGGCTGACAGTGCATATGTGTATCATCTTCAGTGTTTAATTGAAGCACCAATATGAATCAATAGGGAAATGTAGAGTTGTAAATCTAGAACTGAAGGTTCAATTGTGAACAAATTGCAGTGCTGTGTTTGAAGATGTTCATGGGAATCATAATTCTTATCCTTTCTCTTGGAACAAGTTAAGGCCTCTATATCTAACACTTGATATTTATCCCTGTGGCTCCCCTGTGCCTCTGAATTAAAATTTTCTCCTATTTGTGTTCTATTTATTGCAGAGGCGGGGTCTTAGGGAGAAGCTGATACTGTTACTTATTGTGCAAAGGCAGCAGTAGTATGATCCAAGAGTGCTGGCTCTTCATCCTGGCTTTGCAGTCATAATGCCCTTTCCATGCTATATGCTATGCAATTTACTAACCTTTCCAACCTCTATTTTAAAGATCTCAGGAATACATTTTCAGTGTAAGGAGTCACAGTGCCCTCTTACCACATGAGCTTTCCTTGCCGCCCAAGTACCCGGGCGAAGAATACTAGAATGCTGCTGTTTTCCCTATGGACCTGCTACCAAAACGTGATAGGAGACGTTTTGCGTTTGTTTTCATGTCTTCCTCCTCTTTCCCCTGCTCAAATCCAGGCGTTCCTGTTCCCTTCCTCTCCAGCCCTACTGCATTGCCTCTGCACCGCTGCCACCTGGTGGGAGACAAAAGGGAAAACGGAGAGGAAAAAATGAGACAGACTTACTCTCTTTCAAAAGCAGCTTCTGGTGGTACCATAGTCTGCAACAACCAAAGCACTTGGTTGCCCGTTGGAAATAGTATCTTGAGCGTCTAGTTGGGTGTGACAGGAAAGAGCAAGTCTGATGCAGACAACGTTTGAGACAAATTGATGAACTATATTGAGCAACTCTAAGGGCTTGTTTACAGAAGCATGTAACTTAGCTCATTTAGGCAGTGTTTTACAATCAGGATAGTGCAGCAATAGTTAATGTTCACATGTTGCTCCTGATGATGAAAAAGTCTTAATAGAAGTAATTTCAAGAGAGTCTGTCACAATGCTCCATGCAGATTTTCCCCTTCAAAAATTACTTGCCAAATACAAGTTCTCTAGTGGAACTGGGTGATTGAATGCTTGTAGTAGGTATTTTTTGTTCTTGTGTAGTTTATTTTAGTGTTATGTTACTACTATTTAATAGGCCTACAATTAAATGATTCTCTAATTCGATAGGATGAAAATTCTACGAGCAGCCCTAGCATATGTCCATTATTACTACAAACGTCTGTAAAATAAAACAAATCTTTGATCTTTGATTGTATGATTGTTTTTTCTTAACTCAGATACCTGAACCTTTTGTCCCAATTATTTACAGAAGTACTCAAATTTTGTAATATTTTAAAAAGAGTTTTTGTACTATTTAGTTTAATTGCCTACTGCTCCAACGGAGCTCCATCCCTCAGTGCTTATCACAGCTTCCATCTTGGAAGCAAAACAAAATGCTTTGTTGAACAGAGGTTACTAAGGTGGGGCAAGCATAATGCTCTGAAACTGCAGAATGCCTTACCATTACTTGCTGTTGCTGGGCCCATCCCTTGTTAGCTGGGATCTGAGGGACTTTCCATCTCTTCTCTCCATCATCCAGGAGCAGTGATGTTGTATTTTTCTGTACCAACTCCACCTTCCTATGCTTTGTGTACATGACAAAATCTGAGGTGCACCATTCTGTGTATGATTTAAGTTCTCCATGTCCCCGGTAATTCACCCTCAGGGTAAATAAGTTTATCTCTGAAGACTAGGAAATGTATTTAAAATGCATCAACAATCACATCTCCTCAGACTTGTAGACCCTGCAGCTTAGTACTGAGAGTACTGGACATCTGGCAGATTTCTGTTGTGTTATTGGTGGCAGCTGCTCTGTTTGACTTGGAGGGGACAGTGACTTACACCATAATAGCCAGAATGCGCTGCTTTGGTTGTGTAGTACAGTATCAGAATATTTAGGGGTTTTTTTTGTTAAGAATTTAGTTAAAATTAGAGTTTGTCTTCATATATACACAGTAAATGTCTTTGATCCTTTGCTTTGAATCTCATGCTCTTGTTAGACTCTACTATCGATAGGATTATGATGTTTCAGAAATGCAGAACAGATTACTTTTGTAATACTGTTAGTTGCAGACTAGAAAACACAGAAAGGTTTATCATATTTTAAGACTTCAAAAATGTTTTGTTCAGGTTGGTGTGACTTCCACAAATGGAGACTTGAAAGGATTCATAGATCAGAACCAGAGTCCAACAAAAGGTAAGAGAATCCTATTTGTATACACAGAAAAGCATACATTAAGACTTATTTCTCTCTTACGTTTACTAAATTAGTATTACTGCTGATTTCACTGCATATGGTTGGTTCAGTTTTGGGAGACTCAGATTTTAAATGTTCAAAATGCATTTCATATGTTCACACTGGTAGATATTTTATTACTGACATGCAAGTGTCAGCAACAAAGATTGGAAGATCTTCGGGTTTTCAGAGGGGAAAAGAGTGTAGTAAAAATAATTAGAAGATAAAATAAGCCCCCCCTTTTTTTTTCTTTCCTTGATGGTGAATAATGTGCTGAATTTCCTGATTTTCACCCCACCTTAAAGTTCCCAGACTCTGTTGTAGTCCAAATGGGAGAGAAGGTTAAGCATGACTTCATGGCTAGTAATATCTCATGGTACTTTTGTAAGGGCTTCAGACAATTTACAATAATAATTATATTTTGTCCTATCCTGTTTCATCTTAGCATTTCTATATTAATCACTTTTGACTCTAAAACAGTGTGTTGGCAGTCAGGCCAGCTGTAGGATTCCAGTAAAATGAAACTGCAACCCCTTATCAATATTAGAAAACTCGAGGATTTACAGTTCAGGAAATGCTTTGATCACCCTTTCTAAGTAAATACAGGTTTGCTGTTATCCACTGCAATAAACAAATGCATGTACTGGCTGGAAGAATGATTTTTGGCTCATCACGACAGTTAGGTGCATCGGACTTCAGAGTCTGAAAAAATGAAAGAGTCTAAACAGAAAATGGCTAGAGCTACAGTATCTTCCTAGTTTTCTAAACTATGCAGAACATTACAGACTGGTTTTAGGTGCACTCATAATTTGACAATTAATTTATTGCACACCGGCGAGGTAATTTCCCTTTGTGTTTCATTATTATGTGATTATGTCATGATACTAGGGAAAGAGACTAAAATAAGTGCAGCATTTTCAAATAATTTCAAATCTGTGAGACAAGCAATTGATTTGTTCAGCGAATAACTGAATTTAATAACTTTATAAAGTATAGGGCATTACTGTTAGTAGTAATATCTCAGTGATCCTTATCCCAGTCTTTATTAGATTTTGCTTCTGGGGTGGTGGATGTATTATTTACCTCCATTCTTCTGTATTTTCTAAAATGTTATGCTCTAATGATTTTTTTTTTTTTTTTTAACCTTGAGGTATAATTAAAAGTCACTGACATCTCTGTTGAGATATAACATCTTGTTCACACTGGCTTATTCTTCCTGGAGAATCAAGTATTCCAGAAAAGCTGGAAAACCTTGCATGCCAGTATCTAAGCTGTCTCTTACTTTAAATCTGAAATATCCTTTACTTACTTCTGGCATGTCCACTGTTGAACTCTGGAAGTTAAGGAGCGGGGGAAGAAACTCCAAACAGGCATTCAGATCCACTATCTCTTAATAGGGCTTTGTGAATTTCCTAGTAAATACAGTTTTTGTTGTTTTATCCATTATTTAAGTTAACTCATTTCCTATAGTAAAAATAAAGGCAATTTATTGCTACATATCTGGGCCTGTTCATAGTGTTCTTAGACTGAAGCATGATGGATTTATATGTTCAAGAGGAAAAGAGAGAGGCTATTTGCTCAGATAAGGATCTTCTTAAAAGCATCAGATTTCAAGTGCTAGAAATTTTTGTTTAGAAAAGTTGTGTTTAATGTTTTTTTCTTTCCAAAAAGATAATTATTTGTGGTGTGTGTTTATTTGTTATTTGCCTCTAGCACAAACATACTAGTTCAGTACCAATATTTACATTAAAGGAACACTTCAGATTCCGGTGCTGAGCCATGAACGCATAGAAAATTCCTTGCAAATTTGTTTTGTCTTCCATTTTGTTTTTTTTTTTATGAACTCTGATCTTTTATTATACTATGAAATCTATTGTGTAATTCTGGTTTTACTGGGTTTAATTCTGAAAAATGCTGGACTGTGCTAGGTAAACCCACTGCTTTGCCACTTTGCCTAGTAACAGTAGACTGCAGCCTGGATCTCTGAGGATGCTGTTTCAAACTGCAGGAGGATGTCTTGAAACACTTATCAAATCAGCTGTTGCTCTTTCTGTACTCATATAGCTGCAGTCTCATTCTGTAGCATCAGCACCACTAAGAGAGAGTTATGTAGGGGAAACTTTCTGACTTTTTCACACTAAAAATGTGTAATCAAAATAGCTAATCACTTGACTCTTGCGCTCTAAAATTACTTTCTCTGCTTTTTTTCCATTCACAGGCTTAACTTTCAAAATCTCTTTTCTTCCCGAGGTTTTCCCCTGAACCATCTGAAGCAGTTAGTCTGTTGCTGCTGTTCCAGTGTGTGTTAGATCAGGCTTAATTTATCTTTCCCACCATGACCTGTAGTGACCACGCACAATCTCTGGATATTTTCCAGGTTTATTTTGCTACAGGAGAAGTTAATGCTCACAGACTGCTTAGGTATTGCAATCTAATCTGTAAGTCTCACAGTACTGCTGTGTCACTTCTCCTGATTTTTAAATCTGAATTGCTGTTCCTAAATAGGTCGACAGGTTGTTCGGTTTATTTGGGGTTTCAGTTTTCTTATTACTTGCTTGTTTCCTGTGCTTGTTAGTGAGTACTGCAGTCTTCTTGCTGTAGCCTTTTTTGATTCAGGCTTTTTAAAATACTTTCAGTATTTATTTTTTTTTATTCCTCCTATAGATGATGTCTGGGAAAAAGAAGCATTTCTAGTACCCAGTGTATCTAAATGCAATACAGATTTACTAAGGAATTTGATGTTTTAAATGTGATGATTGCCGAATCAAAGCACATATATCCAAATTTGTAACCCTCATAAAAAGACTTACTGCCTAATTCTGAAGGGAACTAGATTTTTCTTTCTAGGTGTGCCTAGAAGAAATACCACAATGCTCAGCAGAGCATTAACTCGGAATGTTGTTCACTTTGTTTAAGGAACAATTCCCGTTCAACAGAGAATTTACTTTCCTACATTTGTTGCCTTTAACTCAGAGGCAACTGGCTCTTTTGGCTAAAGGATCTCTATTTGGAGTTTGCTTCCTCGGCTTGAAATGAATACGCATTGGATCGGAGAGGGAATGCCACATGCGGATGGCTCTTGACTAATGGCCAGGGTACTGGGCTAATGCCAGGGACCGCTTGTTGCAAGGACGGTCATTGGGTAAAATATTTTAAGTAGTCCACACAGCACAGTCTGGTTATCTCCTTTCTGAAAGTCATTTTCACTCCCTTTTTCACTCAGTCTTTGACATAGGTTCTTACTGTTACAGTCAAAACTGTTCAGTTATGGCAAGCTGGGCTGACTATGCTTCATTTCCTTATCTAAAAGTACCTGGCAGACTAGTGATTAAAATTACTCCTCTAGGAGACCTGCATTTTAATTCTCCCAGACAGAAAAAATTGGCCCTGGTTCTCATTCTTTAGTGAATGAATACTCTTGGGTTACTGAACGCAAAAGAGATGGTTCCTCTTATGTTTTGGAGAACAGAGATGATTGTTGCTGTTCTTACCCTTGAGGATAGATCTGTACATATGTATTACGTATTCTTCTAGTGTTTTATCATGGATTGTGCCCATTGGGAGAAACTCCCGATATGCTCCATGCTAACAAGACTGACACGCTCCTGGGTGCAGGCAGAACTTCGGTGCCTAATAAAGTTAATTGACTGCAACTAAGGTACTCCATTATTTAGGCAAAATCCTGGTTTAAGTGGCAAGATGTCTTTGTGAAGTTGGCCTATTCTGTTAAAAGTTATTAAGTGTAATTAGTCAAGTTAGTTCTTGAGCAGGTATAATTAGGTTTGTGAAGGAGTTGGATAGTGACAGTTCAGTTGTGGTTTTGGGGTGATTGTTTCAAGCTGTGAATTAATTAAATCAGACATACTGTAGAGTTCACGTTGAAAAGTTGCCTATGTAACCCGGAGAATTTCAAATTTAATCTGTTTGGCAGACATTCCCCATCGATAAGTTGAACACTTCCAGTTTTGTAATGCTGTTCATATATATCATAGAAGTGGAAAATCAGATCTTTTCCTGCCGATTCCAAGCAGAGGGCGCATCTGTATTATCACTTGGTCACTTGTCCCGTAAAGCCACCTCGCCTGCCCTCCGTGCATCCACATGGATGTCTGCGGCTTTGAGGGCTCCATCCTAGGTTAAGGAGTAGTCCCGAGGCCACCCGACCTGCTGAGTGTTGGAGTTGCCTAGGTATGCAAAATCAGGTTTGCAGTCAGGTGTTAGGTGCAAAATCATTTTCGTAGTCAACGAAGCTGCTGCTTCTCAGCTGTAAATTCAGTGAGGTGTGGTGCCACCAGGTGAGGGCTCTAATTCAACACACCTGAAAGGAGTTCATTTGTTACCCTCTGCGGTGACAGGTGAAGGGACGGCCTGTCCTGAAGATTCCTTTCAGCGAAACAAGGTACTCCGAGAACTCCACATTTGAAAGCAACTGCGGCTTTAAAAGATCTGTGCTCGGTCTGTGCAGCTCCGCAGAACAAGCCGGGGCGGCGGAGGCACGGCCGCCCACCCTGCGGGCCGCCCGCCAGGGAGGGCAGAACGGCCCCGGCCGGGCGCTCCGGCCCCTGCTCCGGCACAGCGCCCCGTCCCTAAGGCAGAGCGGTGCTGGCTGCCGGGGGCGCTGCCTCGGGGCGTCGCTCCCACCAGATGCTGACGTTCTTGCCCCGAGACGCAGCAGCCCGAGCAAAACCTCTTTCCACCCCGTCGCCTTCCAGGCTGTGCTGCAGCGTGGGACCGGCTGCATCGGAAGCGTCCGTTTAGGTTTAGGACTGCCGGCGCGAATGACCGTATTTACAGCTGCAGGGGTGGCCGAGGAGCGGCTTTGCCGGGGCGGCGGTGCGACCGTGCCGCAGGCTCTGCGGGCGCGCTCCG